GCTTGCTGAAACTGAGGAGGACCTGAAGCACTTGTTGCAGAAGGTCAAGGACTGCAGCCTTCAATATGGATTGAAGCTCAACATCAAGAAAACAAAGATTGTCACCCCTGGGCCAATTGGCAGCATCAGTATGGATGATGAAGAGATTGAGATAGTTAAGTTTTAGTTTACTTGGCTCCACAGTTAACACTCTTGGTACCAGCAGCCAGGAAATCAAGAGACAAATTACTGCATTGGGAAAATCAGCTGTGAGGGACCTCTCGAGTACTGAAGAGCAACGACGTCAGGCTGGAAACTATGGTGCACCTGATCCAGGCTATAGTCTTTGTAGTTACATGCTATGCATTGGAGAGTTGGACAGTGACTTGGGATGATAGAAATAGAATTGATGCCTTTGAGCTGTGGTGCTGGAGAAGTGTTGGTCTGGGTGAAGCCGGATTGTTCCTTGGAGTCAAGGATTCCGAAGCTTCGTCTGACATACTTTGGGCATGTTGCAAGGAGGGACTGGTCCTGCGAGAGGGATATCATGTTTGGGAGAGTGGAGGGACAGTGCAGGAGAGGAAGACCCTCAATGAGATGGACCAAGTCTGTGATTGGGGTGGTGGGAATGAGTGTTTTGGAGACGGCGAGGTTGGCACAGAATAGAGCAGGGTTTAGGGCTCTTGTACATAGGGGTCACTATGAGTCACAAGTGACTTGACGGTGCATAACAACAACAAACAGAAAGTATTCCCTTGTTCTGTTTTTACAAGAGCACAGTCAAATGTTCTGGGATTCCCATTCTTCTCAGTGTTAACCATATTTTGTTCTGATTCAGATACCTTTGCATAGTCGGTGAAACATCTTTTTGGTAGTCTTCTTTTAGCCAAAATCCATCTCACTTCAGCATTGATAGTTCTTCATGACATGGCCTCTTCTGAATCCAGCTTGAACCCTGTTGATGGACTGTTCTAGGACTTTGGAATATGACTCATGGTAACCCTGCAAACAACAGTTCTGACCCTTGCCCTGTCCTGCATCCTTCTCTCAGTCTCTGATATGCTCAAGCCCTTTGTTAGAGTCACTGTATCAATCCATTAGAAGAATCTGGTTTTGACATTGAACGCTGTTTTTTGTTCTTCATATCAGCAGTGATGAGATGACCTTTGAGAAAGAATCTATGTAGATCAGCTTGTGCAGAGTAATAATCACGGGATGCCTGCCAGTTCTTTGATGGCACTGTTCATTTTGTAGCTGTAAACCGGACTCTTGACTCTTCCTTGGTTATTATTCTCATATGATAAAATAAGAATTCTCTTCCAGTTGGTTGGAGATTGTGATCTGTAAATGTAACTTGAAAAATATAATCTACTAATTTCTTCCCTGAAACCACTTTGAAAACATCTGATGCATGTTTAACTCAATCTCAGATGAATACTTTCTTGTAATCTCCCACAATATTGTTTATGAGAGCAGGCTCACCCTCCTTGGCAGTTGCAAAAACTGAAGAATATTTTGTGAATTTGATTTTGAAAAGTAAGTTGGAGACTTGCGTCTATAAAATTGGGTTACAGGTTTTGCGTTAGAGGAAACAATGAGAAAAACATTAGAGATAGGTTCTCTTTCCCTGAGGTGAAGATGACCTGGTGACCTTAAGTAGTGTAAAGTGCTGAACTGCTATCTAAAAGATCAGCAGTTCAAGTCCATTAGCCTCTCCCCTGCCTGCCTTCCCCCCCAGCCTCTTTGAGGAGGAAAGACAACCCAGTGGATGTTTGCTATGATTTAGACCCCACTTGACCCAACGGCAGTGTGTTTGACTCCCTGAGGTAGCCCAAACAGAAATTTAGGATTTGGAATAAATAGCCCTTCTTTCATTTTTTTTAATACACCTTGAACTCTTCTATCTCACTCAGTTTGGCTGTTGGAAATCAAATCACTTTAAGTAAAACATTGGTTGTATCGAATTCTGTTTTTTCCTCCATTTTTTCCCCACTAACACTTGCGGTGGAATTTAGTGTAGATAACAGAGAAGACTGTTCAAGAGATTAGTGTCCCAGCTACTTAGGTCCAGAATGAACCCCACAGGCCAAAAGGAGAATTCTCTGCTCTTATGGGTCGTAAGTAACTTGATGGCACCTAAGCAACATCTGCCGCATTTGATCAGGAAAAGCAACACCAAGTAGAGGCAGCTGCACGGGAGTCAAGGAGCTCAATCAAACTCATTGCCTTCTAGTCAGATGTGGGGACTTGAAAAATCTGGGACAGCAAATCACAGACTAAGAGGCCATCCATCTTTCTTGGAGTCACTGGGATTTGAACTATAAGAGAAGCCCCTTAGGGCTTCTACAGAACTTCTAACAGGACTGTCTACAGACTACTACACCGTGAGAGCTCCCTGGTCATGGAGCAGGGGATAGAAAATGATGTTTGACTTTTCACCATTGCTTGACGAGGAAGAAGTGCTGACTGGTGTCTGCTTGCCCAGTTCTGCTGGAGGGTGAGAGAAGAAAGCCACCCAGGTGTGGAGTCTTGGATGGTGATGAGACATATGAATGTACTATTTTTTTTTTTTAAAGAAGCAGCAGAACTTTCTTCTGGTTTTGGTTTTTTATTTTGGTTTAGGACAATCTTATAAATCCTATGGATTTTTAATTTAATCATGCATATTTTATAACATTAATTGTAATTGTTTAATGTAATTAATGACATTGTCTGATCAATCTTTATTGTATATAGCCTTTACCTTCATCCAGTTTATCTGTTAATTTTTACTTTACCATCCAAGATTGATACTATGTGTATGTAAACCTTTCCTTTGCGTTTTACACTAATGATTTTAAACCGTAATTCTTCCTGTGAGTGACTTATGCCACTCAGCATAATTTCCTCTAGATTCATGTATATTGGGCAGATTAATGAATTTCATGAATTCTTTATAATTTCTAAGTGGAACATAATAGTGTAAATGTACCATAGTTTCTTTAGCCATTTGACTGTTGGGGGACACTTGGTAGTTGTTTCCAGCCTTTCCTATCATAAGCATGTTGCCGTAAACATGAGTGGGTGTGCATTATTTTCTTTTGTAGTTCTTCCTTTATGGGCGGTATACCTATTAGTGGGATTGTGAGATCAAGTGGTATTTCTATTCCCATCTTTCTAAAGAAGTGCCGAACTGCTTTCCATAGTGGTTGCACCATTGTACATTCCCACTAGCAGTGTATATAAGTGCTCTTATCTCTCCATAATCTCACCAGCATTTGCTGTTTGCCCTATTACTGACCTTTGCTCTTACTGTGAGATGGTATCTCATTGTTTTAATATTGGAGCTTTGAGGGAGTTATGGTGCTAACCCAAATACCTCCCTGTCTGGTGGTTGAATCCACCAGCATCTCTGAGGGAGAAACATGGCCAGTTTCCTCCTGTGTGATTCACAGTCTTAGAAACCCAGTAGAGGATCAGTCATGAGTTAATACTGACTCCATGAGATGCAAGAATGGGTAATGATCCTGAGCCTTTCTTCATGTATTTGTTGACCAGTAAAATGTCTTCTTTGGTAAAGTGTCTTTTCATGTCTTCTCCCCATTTTGCAATTTGATTGCTTGTCTTTTTCTTACTGAAATATTGGGAATTTTCAATAAATTTTTAGAGATGGGTCTCTTGTTAGTTATGTTATTTCCAAATATTTCTCCCAGGCTGTAGGTTCAAAAGAGCTTTCTGAGTATGAACAGGGACATGTGAGCAGCTCAGAGAAGTGGAGCTTTGATGAAGGCTTATTCTTCATGAAAGACGATTGTTTGATGAAGCTGGCTTAGATAGTATCAGAGCAGCAGGAAGACCACTGAAAACTCCCTGGAAATCTGTTATTCTCCCAGGCCTCTAAGACTGAGTGTTTGTGAAATGCTCATGTGGGGCTCTATTGCTTACCTGAAGACTACTGTAGCATGGTGTTTGTTGTCCTGTGACTATAACATTGTCAATTGCTTCTCCTTGCTTTATGTTGACAGACTTGAACAATGCAGCTGCTCCTCCTGGAGGTGTATGGCACCTTACCTGAGCCGGGCCATGAGACCATGTGGCTATGATGTGGGCCCCTCATGGCCTCAGCAGGAACAGAGCAATACAGTATTGGCCTCCGCCGGGGAAACAGCTTCAAGCAGCGTGGTCCCTCAGGCACGATCCATGCCTCGCCAGTTGAGAAACCCTCTGAGGGCAGAGCCTGGTCTCGAGCTCATCAGCAGGTGAAGCCAATCTGGAGGTTGGAGAAGAAGCACATGGGGACATTGTCAACAGGATTGGGCCCAGGCCTCTTGGGTGTCTCACCACAGTCAGCATATTTTGTTTGCCCCAACACTTTTTGTAACTCTGGGACCACGGCTGTCATTCCAGGCCACAACTCCTGTTACCTGCACTCCCTCCCAGACTTGTTCAGCAGTACCCTGCTGTACCGCCGCTCAAACCACAGGCACAAGCCCTATCAGCAGCTGGAGTCTTTCTGCTTACATTCAAACCTATCAGAAAAAAGACCGTTTTCTCTCCCTCAAAAGAGCCTCCCTGTCATTCTGACTGCCAATAGGGCCACTTCTTCTACAGTCTCTTTCATGGCTCAGCCCATGGCCGCCTCATCCACTGATCCATACCTGTCATCAGTGGGAGCCGCTGGAGAAAACTCTTCAGGGAAGAACCTGGCCTCTGCCATCTCAGGGAAGATCCCATCGCCACTCTCCTCCTCCTATAAGCCCATGCTGAATAACAACTCTTTCATGCGGCCAAATAGCACTAAAGTGCCTTTATCACAGGCCCCAGAGGGTCTGAAGTCAGTATCTACACCCAAAATTCAGACTGTCTCTTGGCTTCATTCAGGGGGTACGGGAGACTGTGCATCCCAACCCATTGAACATAAGGTTCCCAGAAGCAATGGCACTGTTCTAAATGACACCACTGTCCATACCACCATGTCTACCCCTAGCTCTTTAGACACGTTAGTCACCAGTGTTGCCTCTCCCCAGTATAACAGGAGTAACTCAGCCATGTGGGTAGAGCCGTACCTCTCTGGCCTGGATGACAACTCTGATTCCCAGGCTAAAAATAAGGAGGTTCGGTTCACTGAAGCTGTGAGGAAGTTGACTGCAAGAAACTTTGAGAAGATTCCAAAGCCAGGCTGCCAGTTTGAACAATCTTGTTTTGTGAACCCAAGCCTCCAGTGGAACCTCCTCAACAAGGGCAGGCAGTGGAAGCCCCCCGTGGTAGGCCAGCAGTTTCCTCAGGAGGATGCTGGAACAGACTATAGCATTCCCTCTGGTGCCCAAGACACCTTGGCATTGGACAATACAGTCTTCTGTACCAAACATATCAGCATTCACCTCCTTGCCTCATCTGCCAATGGGCTCAGTAGTAGCCCTGCCTGTGGATCTGCAATTGACCCTCCATCACTTGAAGTAGATAAAACTCTGGTTCCCTCTTCCTCTCAAATTCCTGGCGTAGCTGATGTGGCCACCCATCTCTCCTCCATCCATCTGGACCAGCCTATGAGGGAGCCTAAGGAAAGCAGGAAGCTGGACTTACCTGCTAGGGATCTTGGGTAAGTTGAAAAAAGCTTTTGGTTCCCTGAAAGCACTAGAATGTAAGCATCGTAATTTGGTGACACTGAACATTTGTCTTTAGAGCCATGCTCATTCATTTATGCATCATGGCTGCTTTCTTGCTACCGTGTCAGTGTCAAGTAGTTGTAACAGACTGAGTGACTCTCAAAACCAAGCATACATACGACTAGGTTTCCAGTTTTCCCTAGTATGACAGCAGGTTTAGAGTTAGGGTATATACATAATTTAATTAGTTTCTTCATTTGTGTCTTGCTGCTTCTCCAGAACCTTGGTCCATCAGACCTTGTTTGAGGTTTCTAGAGAAAGACCTTGCAATGTTAGAAGTTAATACTAGAAATTCATTGATGTCCGTTTGTTTCCAGAGGGCTCTGCATACATACATACATACTTCAAGGAACTTCAAAAGTAATAGAAGAGGTAATAGTACCTCTACTACATCTACTTGAGGATGTAGAGTTGAGGATCGATGGCCATATGTAAACTCTGAGAACAAGAGAAATGAGTTGTGAGGTCTTGGCATGGGAGAGCAGATTGGTGACTGGAAAAGAAACAAATATTAGGAAATGATGAACCAATGAGAATCTTGTGACATTTCTCATGGGAGAATAATTCTTACTCATAGTTCAGATGCTGACTTCCGGCCAGACCAGGTTGAAGCTGAAGATGCAGAAGAAGATCTCCTAGATGGTTTGGAAGACTGCTGCAGCCATGATGAGAACGAAGATGAGGATAGTAAGTGGGAGTTGGTCCTGTCAAGCATCAGGATAAGGAAGTGAGTTAACAGTGGTGTAGCAGATTTTTGTTTCACAGAATCATCTTCATTAACATCGTCCCTTGTGGATGGTTGGGGAGCAGAGGAAAAGGGAAGCGACTGCTAGAAGACTGATTGTGAGATGTTGCACCTGACAACAACATTGATCTCAGGAAACGTAGTTCAAGATGGCAGGGTGGTGTCCAAGAGCCTGCTGGACTTGGTGGGTTTGTGGGGCAGCCTTTCCTAGTGGAATTGCTCTGTTCTTCCCCCAGGAGACTCGGAGTGCTCCTCGTTCAGCGCTGTCTCTGCTAGTGAGTCGGTAGCAGTGATTTCTCGGTGAGTGTTGATGATGTAGGCCTTGACAGATGTTCTTATTCTGTTATTTCAAGGTTTTAGAGTTTAAGCATCCAGGTTATTAGTGGTCCTGAGAATCCCATTTCATTTTCATGAAATAATTATAAAATGTATGTATGTGTGTTTGTATTTATTAATTAATTAGCAGGGAGCAATAGAAGGGATCAGAGTCATCTCTTAAAAGATAAGACTTAAAAGTAGTACCATGATTTGTTTTTCAAGCTGCAGGTTGGTCTTCAGGGTATAAGAAATTTGTCTTAAGATAGATTGAGAAAATTAATCCCCAATTAATGAAGAAACTAAAATCTATCCTGTTATCCCAAACTAGAGCATTCCTGTGAAGCCTTTTAAAAGCAAAAATGGTATAAATTAGAGAAGCAATTACCATTAATTTATATGAAAAATTTTCCTAAACCCAACAAATGCTGACTGCTAGTTTCTCTTTCATTTTTAAAACTCATAAAAGTGAACTACCAGCCAGTTGGTTAGCAGCCTTGAACCCAATCCACCACCACGATTGTCCAGCAGTATTACTTTACCAATAATTCATTGCATTTCCTGCTGCTCTGTTCTTTTTTGTTTTTATTGGCTTGTGTACAATACTTTTCTTCATTTTCTGAAGATCATGTCACTTTAGAGATGGAAGCCATCAAGAAAGACATCTTTTTTCAGATACAGAAATTGAAGACCAGAGAAGTAACTATTCGAACATAATTTTCTAGCACTGGAACTCAAGTTTCTTGAAGATAATAAGCCCAATACTTTTTTGGACTATTTCTTTCCTTTTGATGTCTAACCGGCTCATACCTGACCCTCTGGCATGTTTTCCAAGGCTGTAAATGGCACAGAAGGAAATTGCCCATCTTTCTTCCTCAGAGCAATTGTTAGCTTTGAACCACCCACCTTGGGGTTGGCAGCCAACTACCCACTATACCACCAAAGTTCCCTGCTAAAAATCAATCTTGTAATAATATTTGTGGTTCATACCTGCTCAAAATAGATTATTTCCTCCTTTTTTTTTAAATTTTATTTTATTATTTTCTGTGCGTGTACCGTCAAATCGGATCTGACTGGTACAGGAGGAGATTATCCCCAGCAGAGCATCTGGTGGAATTTAACCGCACACCTCTGGGATTGGAATACAGCTTCTTGCCACTAGGCCACCAGAGCTCCGTTATTTACTCAATTTTTTGATACGATCTGAAGAAATGCTCTGGATCTGCCTGCCAAACCTAGCTGAAGTGTTCACTATTTTGAGACTCTCTGAGATAGCCTTTCTGGAGCCGTTGTTGGAACGGCAGTTGGTAGGTATTCCTGAGGCCCACTGCTCCAGATTCTTACCTGTTCATCGGATAGATGCCTGAGGGGCCTGTATGTTACATAAGAATCTACTGCCACAGATTTTTTTCCAAAATGGAAAATGGCACTAGCTCTCTTTGTATCTTCAGATAAACCTAAATGTAAAATGAGTTAAAAGTGTTATGCTTTCTTTCTTTTTTTTTAAGTTGTTCCCCCTACCTTTTTTAAAAAAAGTTTTCCAAGACTTTGCGCTTTTCCTCCCTTTTAATTATTGATATCGTTCTTTTTCTCTCCTCATTTCTCTTTGTCTTTGTGTAGCATACGTCTCTATTGTTGTGTACCCAAACTCCTTATCCATTTTCAGCCACTTGTTTAGGAACATCCTTTTCCTGCAGCTTAGTACAGGGTATTTTGGAGCTGTGTCAGAGAGAGAAGTGCCAGGAAGCTGCGTCTTTATCTGACATTTAATGATGTAGCACCTTATGGATTAATATTTGCAAAGTAATAATGGACTGCTTGTTCTTTTAGAATCACAACTGAAATGATAGCATCCTGAAATAAGTTATATATAATATAAAGAATACTCTGGATCTGTTGCTCCCTTTTATCTACCACATGTGTGTTTTCTGTCTTAGGAGCTGTGCAGAGGTTCTGTCCAAACCCCTTTCCAGTAATGAGAAAGTTGTCCGACCAGCCCTAACCTACAGCCTCTTCCCCAATGTGCCTCCTACCATCTATTTTGGCACTCGAGATGAGCGTGGTAAGCCTAATCCTGAGAGTCTCCAAGGGAGGGTGGTGGCAGCTAAGTTAGGGAAGAGGTGGGAGCAGTGTGAGGGAAAGTCCAGAAAGGCCTATTGTGAATGATTATATCACACTTTGTACTCAGCTTCCCACTTGGGCCATAGGTCCAGTATGGGGACTGTTTTCTTGTTTTTTAGGTGACCCTACTGAGAACTTGAGTATGTCAGAGATGATGAGGATGGCACAGGTTAGGACAGGGTTGGGATCCATTGTTCATAGGGTAACTGAGTCATACTTGACTTGACAGTGCTGAACAACAGCAGCAGCAGCTCAGCCTCATGGTGATGTGCCTTCTACCTTTTGTTTGCAATGTTACCTGCTTAGTGAAGGATAAGTGACAGTGGCACCTTTTTCTTCCTCACACAGTGACTCTCCCGCTCTCTTTTCCCTTCTCCCTATCCCCATCCCCTGCTTTCCCCTAGTGGAAAAACTTCCCTGGGAGCAGAGGAAGTTGCTCCGGTGGAAGATGAGTACAGTGACCCCCAACATTGTCAAGCAAACCATTGGACGATCCCACTTCAAAACCAGCAAGAGTGAGTCCCTGCCTTACTACCAGCTTGTCCTCTGCCCCAACAGATGGTCCTTAAGGAGTTTGAGAGCCCTAAATGCAATTATTTCTGCTATGTGGTGGCAGCTGGCAATCCTGTCCTGCAATTTCTGACCTTATTTGGAGTGTGTCATTATGAATGGTCCAGACCTCTGGGCTTGGATCAGTTAGTCAAGATTGAGAGAAAAAGGGCCATTGTTTTATCTGGCTCCATGACAGCTCCTTGTTAGCTTTCAGAAAACTGGGTCTGGGAGTTGTGCCCAAGCTCAGTGATATTCCTGAAACTTTTGGGCCCCACTTTCTGGCTGAGGTGTCAGTAGGATTGACTTCCTGACATGCCTTCCACAGGAAATGATGACTGGCTGGGCTGCTGGGGTCACCACATGAAGTCTGCTAGTTTCCGATCCATTCGGGAGCATCAGAAGGTAGGGGCCGTTTTTTGAGGAGCTCTCTTATTGGACTTTGGGCTAGTCCCAAAGTAGGGTTGTGTGGAGGATGACCGTAGAGAAGTCTGGAAATGTCCATAGGAGAGCAGAACGCAGTGTGAGAACCCCGCAGACCACACACATCTACAGTTCAGCCCTGGTGTTTGGACAGCACTAGCCTCTCAGAAAGAAACCTTTTCCTATAATGTATCATTAAAGGAAATATTGAAAGTGACATTGTCTCTGTTTTCACTATTCCCACTGAACACTGAGCATTGTTTTCATTCTGCCCAAGCTAAATAATATAATAAATAATAATAATAATAATAATATATAAATAAATAAATAATAAGGAGGACTTCCAGACAGCTGAGTCCCTTGCCCTTAGACTTAAAAGCTAGGTGTTTTTCTGTCCATGTATTTTTCTGTCCATGTTCCATGGACTGTTCTCCAGAAGAACAGTCTTAAGAACAGCATCAAGAAAGACTAAGTCTTCTTTATATCTAAGATGAATATTATATTTTCATAATCTCTAATAGGTGTCATGAATTATAAACTGCCATTGGGCATTCCACTTTATGTGTTTTAAACATACTTTTGTCAGTGCTCAGTAGCTGAGTACATAAAGACCATTACAAACCTTGTTGGTATTAAGTCAGAACTGACTCGGTTGACTTACCAGTGGGTTTTTAGAGGCTCTCAAGTACTCAGAAGGAGATTGCCTATCATTTTCCTGTAGAGCGGCTGGTGGATTTGAACCTTGAGTGGTATTTGTAACTCTCCCTGCTAGGCCACAAGAGTTCCCTAAAAATTACTAGGTGAGGATCATGAAATGGTGTAAGAGCTCAAAATGTTGCTAAGGAAGTTTGGACTGAGATTGAGATTTTTTATTTTATTTTATTAATTTTTGTGTGTGTATTGCCAAATCAGATCTGACTGGTACAGGAAGAGATTACCCCTCCTTCTGCAGCAGAGTATCTGGTAGATTCAAACCACACACCTCTGGGATTGCAGTGCAGCTTTTTGCCACTGGGCCACCAGAGCTCCTTAGAGATTGGGATTCTTGTCATGTAATGGTGTGGAGATCTCACCACTCTCTCTGCCCTCACCCTTTGCCCTTTCTATAGCTGAATCACTTCCCAGGCTCCTTCCAGATTGGGCGGAAAGACCGACTATGGCGGAACCTGTCCCGCATGCAGACCCGCTTTGGCAAGAAGGAGTTCAGTTTCTTTCCCCAGTCTTTTATCCTGCCCCAAGATGCCAAGCTCCTGAGAAAAGCCTGGGAGAACAGCAGCCGCCAGAAGTGGATTGTGAAGCCAGTGAGTTGATCACAGTGGGAAGGAGACCATGGTCTGAGAGTGGGAACAACAGAGTACTGAGCCAAGAGCAAATCTCATCTTTCCATTTGACTTGTAGCCAGCATCAGCACGAGGCATTGGCATCCAGGTCATTCACAAATGGAGTCAGCTCCCCAAGAGAAGGCCCCTCCTGGTACAGAGGTGAGCTTATCTCCAGCCAGATCTTTCCCAATTTTTCATTATTCTTTGGCCTGGAGATTCCATTTTACATTGTTCTGCTTTTTGGCTTCCCAGCAAGAGATGTTTTAGGTCCTTATCTCAGAGGTTGCTAACTGGCTTATGCTCTATAGAGCCGTGGGTCCAGTCTCACCTGCCATGTCCCTGATGCTACCCTTATCCCCATGTAGGTATCTACACAAACCCTACCTCATCAGCGGCAGCAAGTTTGATCTGCGGATCTATGTTTACGTCACTTCCTATGATCCTCTACGAATTTACCTCTTTTCAGATGGTCTC